GGATGCGCTGCAGTAATAATAGCGAAATTAAGTGCGCTCCACTGGATTAAGTCTCTTGAGATTGACACGACTTTAATGAGAAATTACTTCCTTTGATGCCACGGTGACGTCGGAAACTTTTAATTTTGTTTGATTCGATTAACCGTTACGTTTAATTCAAAGCGTTAATTTGATTGGCTTCACCACTAATCGTTGATTCGTCACCTTCCTGCCGAAGAATCAGAAGCGCCATGCGACGTTTAAAAAATTCCGCAGCCATTTTATTTTTTGGCAGATAAATTGGACTACATTTTGCAATTTGGACCTATAGATTCTAGCCTGGTTTAAAAACAATGTATGTGCCATTAGTTTCCCTATGCACATAAGTGTTTTTCCAGAAGGTCTAGAATTTATAATTCTAAATTGCAAAATTCAGTCCAATTTTTCAACGAAGCTGATGGAGGAGAAATTCAATTCTAATTTTTTTCTCTTTTCCTTGTGCTTAAATTGCAAACGAGTGAAGGGCCTAAGTCGCTAAGGCATCTCTTTAAAGTAAATATATTCTAATACCTATATATTCTAATCGGTTTATTTTCTCAGGTATACATTAGGTGATTCGATGGGCGCCATATTTTGTATCAGAATGACATGCGGTATCAATTAGTTCCATGTTTTCAGGTACTCGTCTCTCTCATCGAATTTTGAGATCGCATTACTGATGTCACGAGTCGAAAGAATTCACTTACTAAATTTGAGAAACTAATGCAACGTAATAAAGGCAGGGCACGGTTTCGATATCAGTATCAAATGCGATATTTTTCCTCTAAAACCCCTGTCTTTATTGCGTTGAATTTGTTTCTCAAATCTGGAAAACGAATTCTTTAGTCTCATGACAAAAGAATCGCGATCTCAAAATTCGATGAGCGTGACAATTAGCTGAAACCATGGAACAAATCGATGAGATATAAGTATCGCATGTCATTCTGACACAAAATATATAGCGTCCATCAAATCGCCTTAATTTAATGAAGTATGCAAAATAGCATACTTAGTGAAGCGCGACGTATGCCTATCACTCGTAAATACAGGGTTATTCAAAAGTCACCCACCACTGGCCATAAATTTAATTCTAATTATGATATCGACTTGCGGTTAATGAAGTTTTTCCTCACATCGCGGGGGAAACTTTTTAAGATTCTTTCCAGTTTTTGATCCTCTCGGGAAGAAGGGGCGGGGGGCAACTCGAATAAAATTTCAAATGGCCACCCCCCTTCATGGCCAGTGGTGCGTGACTTTTGAATAACCCTGTATATGAGATTGAAAAGTATATGATTTTTGGACTGCTCCCATCGTGGCATTCATTAGAGATAATGTTTATATTGATGATGCTTGTCATTCGGATGACCACCATTTAAACCTCGTTCATCAAGCATTAATCAGGAGGAAAAGGGTACATTTCCGCCACCGACAACCTGAGTCGAGGAGTAATTAATGCATGACACGTGAAATTTCTCTCGGCTGTCTCGGCTCGCGAACGCGGGGAACTTTCCCACTTAGGGTTCCAGCTTTCAGTTTAGTTAATTGACTGTGTGGGTAGACCGTTCGTGACGAAAGCTCCCGGATTAAAATTGAATGGCGCAGCTGCCACTTACGTCAGAATTTCGGGGGATGACAGTCGGACGTATTTATGCTAAAAAGGTGCTATGTGCATTGGGATAGGGTGTGACATAGTTCCTTTTAGCATAAATACGTCCAGTTTCGATTTTAGCTCGCGAGTGGTGTGGAAGCGAGGATGTGATGTAGGGAATTTGACCGTCCGCTCGCGGCGACTTCAAATAAAATATGCATCGGAACAGACACTATAGTGGACGGTCGTTTAATCTGTTTTGGGAAATGATAGGGGTAGAAATAGACTGAAAGTACAGACTAGACAGTTTTAAGTTGGTAGTGCATCTGTATTCGACATTTTGAAAACAGATTTATGTAAATGGTGCTCCTTTATTAAAAAATATGTGTGGAATAAATTATTGATACTACGTCGCAGTGTTGTGTATGTTGCTTACTCACTGATTGAAGGGGCGCATTTTTTTACTGAAATCTATTCCAAATAAGCTGAGGCTGATATAGGTTGAAATTTGTCTTTGAAGTGGTGGTTGCCTACTTTTCTGAACTCATCTTATCGTTGATTAAAATGTAAAGGCGCTGCTGCCACTTACGTCAGAATTTTGGAGGATGACAGTTTCGAGTTTAGCTAGCGCGTGGTGTGAAAGCGAGGATGTAGGAAATTTGAATGTCCCCTCGAGGCAATTTCAAATAAAATCTTCATCGAAACAGACACTAAAGTTTAGTTAGTTTTACTGGCGGTCGGAATGTAACACAAATTAGCGCCTACAGGACTGCATGAATACTTCACGCATTGCTTCAAACACAGTGCGGTCAGGAGCGATCGGCGCGTGAAACGCATAGCGCCTTCAATATTGCACGAATACTTCACGCATTGCGCCAAACAGTGCGGTCAGCGCGAAATGCATAGCACCTACAAGACTGCATGAATACTTCACGCATTGCGTCAAACACAGTGCGTTCAGCAGCGGTCGGCGAGAAACGCATAACGCCTACAAGACTGTGGGACTACTTCACGCATGTAGGCAAGTAGGCAAATCTGGCCCTGCCGCCATGTCAAAATGAACTGACATTTTTAAAACTATTGTGTAACTACACTGTTCCTCTTCTACAACTTTTTGCTCGTTTAAGATCGTCTTGATAATGTTGAGAAATTCTCAGGTCTAATTGAATTGTTTCCTACAGCAATGCGTACATTGAAAGTATGCTTTTAACTTCGGTGTCATTTGTTGTGTTGACCCTTACACCTTTCATCAAGACCTCTGTAAGTTATACATAGTTTTACATACGTAATACATAATTTTTAATTCTGTGAAGTAAAATATGTAGATGACTGCTAAGACAGAAAATAATAAAATGACAGGCAAAACTACAGTAGAAATACTTAAACTAGTTTAAAATTGACGATTAAAAACAAGAATGTGGCCATGTTTCCTTTCTTTTCTTCACTCACGTACAAAAGAGCACGAGGTTGTTGGATTACATGGACATTTTCAATTTATTGTGATAGTGCCCCAATTAATTGTTACCCCAATAAATTAGGTTACTAACCCAAATATTACGGTACTACCATAATTAATTAGGAAATGTCCGTATCATCCAACGAATTGGGGCAGTACCACAAATTTAGATGATAACCCTTGACCCTTTTTCCCCCTCTGTTATTGTAATTTTCTTCTGCTGGACATGAATATAAAATTTGTTATTGCAAAAGTACATTCAAGTTAAGGCAAAAAAAATCTTTTATGGTGAAATTTGGAGCGTAGAAAACTTAAATAGATGCAAAAATTCGCATGATCATTTACACTAAGCAGGTTTGAATTTCAATTTCTTGCAGCCACCTTCAATAACGCCATTAGGTATAAGTTTTGACAAATTGCGAGATTCATTCATAGCCTTGGAAAACAACCGATTGGACGTCATAAGAAAGGCTGTAGAAGTGGCCACGAACCGGCGAAGCAACGTGGCGCTCAAATTTTTGGATGTTGTAGGACACGCGGATTATGCCCTCGAAAACATACGACGCTATTTCGATGCCGGTAAAATCAAGCTGGACTTCGAGAGAGTAGAATCAAACCTTCCAATGGAGGATGTAATTGCGGTGAGATGAAATTCTTTCACTTTGCTTAGATGATTTCGTTGGAACCTGCATAGCTTATGATAGCCAGACACCGAGACAAAATTTAAGAATTTTAAACTGGATATGCAACAAGCTTATCATGCCCGTCACTGTTTCGGATATTTTGTACCGTTCACGTTCGTGTATTACGGGGTTAAACTGTCATGTACACACATACCATACACATAAATGAATATAGACGGTGAAATTACCAGACGACGTATCTCATTTGCGGTATTTAAAAAACTCCACGTTCGTTCCACAAAGAAGAAAAATTTCGTAAGTTTTCAAGAGAGGACGTTGGGTAGTTTTCCATCCAAAAAAAAATTATGACAGGAAGTCTGCGATGTCGCAAACCGTTATACATGGTCTGGTAGTTATACACCACCGATATGTTGCATGCAATGCAATCTCTCTTATCAGCATCGCAATTATAATGGATAAGTAAAAACAGGGACACAAGTAAGGCTCACAAGACGTTTTTTGAATTTCATGTCTGGAATTTTAAAATTTCTAGTTTAATGTTTAGCTTTATCAAAAATTCTATAGCTCCAGTCGAACTCAAACCCCTGCTCAAGAATAATAAGACTCAGTAGATGCAATGAATAAGCGCCAAGCTCTCCCTTAGCTGACCCTGGACAACCAGGATTATTAATTAGTTTATTTCGAGCAAATTTGAGAAACCTCCATGTTTCGTGGAAAAGTATGGTTGTACGGTATTTCACTATTGAATGACGTGAAAATCATCTTTGTTCCAGAAAACACATATCCTAGAAGATGAGAATTACTTGAGTGTGCAAATGCATAAGCTGGCCGAAATTATCAAAGATTTAGAGGCGAGGGAAGAAGATCTGCCAGAGGACTTGTTGGACATGCTGAGGCCAATAATGGACAACATCAAACAGAGTGAACAGACCGTGGCTCCTCTCGAAAAACAACTACACATCGATATAGAGGAGGCCAAAAGAAGATTACATTTCTTGTAAGGTCAGTAAATTTTTAGCCCAATGGAAGGCACAAACATGGAGGGTACCGTCTTACCAACAAAAAGCGTTTATCATTAATATTTAGCGTTTGAATAGCGTGTTATCTTCAGATCATAACAATGAAAATATCCGGAGGATTACCAAGGAGGGTCAAGGAAAAAAATTAAGTCAGGGAAATTTTATTTAAAAAATACCTTGATTCTTAGGTATTACAGAAAATTCAACTCGGCCCTAGTCGATCCACTTGGAAACAAAAACTCGCCTTAAAAACTGTGATTAGATCGCTTTTGATAAGCTCAAACTGTACACACATTTCATTTTGATTGTTTCTCTCATTAATGTGTGCGTGCACTGAAAGTATGGTTTTGACTTTGTCGTACTCTATAGCAATAATACTTGCATTCATTGAGGCCTCGGTGAGTATGTCATTGGGACCAACACGGAATTAATTTTAGAAGAATAAACATATTATTAAGAGATCGTAAATATATTTAATATGAGTCAAAATAGCATTATTTGAGGCAGTTTAATTTGGGCACCTGAAAATCAAAGTATTAGGTTATGTTTGGTTCCTCCCTATTACATTGCCTCTTTTTTTAACCATTCGTGCTGATCGTCAAAAATTTCATATCCACATTACATTTTTAAGTTTTTCAAAGAATAAAAAAAATAATTGCATTTTTTTCATCGAGTTGCATCGCACTCAAGAGGAACTCGTGTATTGTGAAACCTGCATTATTCCTGGGGCATACTTAGTTTGAAGCATGCAGGTAATGTCCGATTCATACTTATTTGAGATAATGTCTGAAATTCTAACTTGTTTTCAGCCAACTTCGATACCGTTGAGCGAGAGCTATGACGATTTATTAGTTTCATTCATAGCTGAAGAACCCATCCGAGAGGCCGTCATAAATGAAGCAATAAAGTGGGCCACGAAGGAAAACAACAAGGAGGCGCTTAAATTCCTAGAGGTAGTGCGAGAAGCAGATGATGTACTCAAGAAAATAAGACACTACTTCGATGCTGGGAAAGTTTTGTTCGACTTTAATTCTGGAAAGTCGAACCTTACAGTACAAGATATGCTAGCGGTAAGAATCATAATATTTCTGTTGCTTCGAATGAATGAGTTTAGATGAGTTTGTTAAAATTTGTATAGCGTTTGTTTCGACAAATCGCTTTAACATGTCAAACAAAGCTGAAGCTGTGGTGGTTTGAAGTGAAGTCCCAGAAATCGACAATGTAAGTCGGCGAGACTTCCTGTCATACTTTATTTTTTAAATGGAAAACTACTCAACAGCAATTCTTTAAAACTGGCGTGATTTGTCTTTTCCGTGCGAAGAAAATGCTGCAAAAACTTCAAGGAATGATGTCAATTTGTTCTCCTTTAAAACAAAAAATTAACATAGAGGCGGAGATTTTTAGACACCGCAAATGAGATATGTGATTGCGGACGTACGCCGTCGAAATGTTGTTTCAATGAAAAATTACTAAAAATTTTGATCACATATGTTTGGGATTGAAAAAGCCGAATCATAATGTAACACCACGTGCTCTCTTCAAACATAATAATTAACTTAATCAATCGCAAAGTCTTTTCAGAACACTATACAACGCATTCTTTTTGAAATCTGATCATTCGCCCCAACTTGGCAAAAATCGCTGTACAGAAAAATCTGCCCCCATGAATTAATGTCCACTGCCCCTTGGTGGTCACGTGTATTTTAAATTCTTCATTAAAGTTTATGATTTACCCTCTGATTTTGTTTTTAAACGCAACATGTTATCACTTCAAAATTTTACGAAGAAAACAAATTACACGACTGGAGGTCTGCAAATCATCTTAACAAGATATAAGTGCTCACAATTATCAGTGGTAAAATGGCAAAAATACAGATCACGTATTTTGAATAATCTAACTTCCATTCGATCTGTGTTTAAAATACTTGTTCGTGCTCTATTTAGAGGTTTATGAGTTTATAAGTTTTGATCTTCGGGTTATGTGAATCGTTTTCAACGTAAGATAATTCTCGAAAGAAATAGTGAATTTTTTTCTGCACTGGCTTCGGTTATTTTACCCCATTTAGAGCTGAGGAAACATCAGAGTGCAGAAATACAAAAGACAAGAAACCCATTTTTCTCCCATAAAAATGTGTTTTTCAAAATCTTAAAGCTCAATAAGTGTTTGACTGCGTTTCATCTTGTTTCAGAAAACCATGATCATGCGAAATCAAACATATCTAAATGATCAGCTACAAAGGTTGGCCGCATCCTCAAAAGAAATGCAAACTGAAGTGGCAAAGGTGCCAACGGATTTTTACAGCATGCTGCTGCCTGTAATTGAGGCGATGAAGAAGAGTGAACAGGCACTGATTCCACTTGGAAATCAATTCAAAATCGATATGGATGTGACCATGACCAAACCGATGTCTGGGTAAAACCATAAAATAAAAAAATGTATCCGCGATTAAAAAGGAGAAATTAAGCCTGAATCACCAAGACTCAACACAGTTGATAGTTTTTGGTTTTCTTGATTGCGTAAAATTATATCAACTAAAAATGCGTTACATGACTTCAACGGTGATGAGCTCATTCATTGTCCGCATCTAATCTATGTAAAAAACTCAAGAAAAACATTACAAGACCAAGATGTGACCAGAACACATTTTGGGGAAAATGAGTAAAAAGCAGTTGTTTTGAGCTTGACCATTCTTACTCATATTCTAAATAAAATGCGTTCAATTAGTTTCCCTGTGCTAAATGGAAAGTGCTTCATGAATGAGCCAGAAAAAAATTGCTCCCGGATGTACTTTTATGAAGACAGCCTACCTTTCATCATTGATAGCTCATGCAAAACACAAATATAACTTAGCCGATACAAAATAAGCAACACACACGGTAAACCTTCCACCTTTCATATCGACTCAAGAAGAACCTGAGGGCTAAATGGAAATTCTGTGAAGCAGGGAAGTGAATGGAAATGGAGTACTTGGCATCTCAGCTTCAGGGATGCGATACGTTAGAACCAGACCCAAATTGGCAGCCGGAAAAGTACCTCACAACGCAATATTACCAACAACTTCTGCGTCGGAATTTTCCCTAGTTTCAAATAAAATATGCATTTGAGTAGATACTAAAGTGGCCGTGATTGAATCTGTTTTAGAAAATGATGTAGGCAGGCCCGCCACATACCATCCTGGGCCCTGGTACCAGTTTTCTGGCCCGGGCCCCTTGCACAGAGGGGGGTCCGGGGGGCCTCCCCTGGGAAATTTTTGAAATTTTAAATCTATTTGGACGCATGTTGAAGCTCTTATGAGGAGATTTTCCATCAATTTCTGTAGAATAATTACGCCTTTTTTTTACTTTCACCACCAAATACTTTCGAATTGTTGCATTCAAAACATCTATACATTTTTTTTGAGGGGGTCAGATGATACTTTTTAATTCTAGGGGGGCCTTCTAGCCGGGCCCCCCTGGACACCCCTTTTGTACGTCTATGGCAAGGGAGTTGAGCCATTGAAGTCGAGGATGCCCAGATAGGAGCCTCTTAGCATCCGACAACGGAAGAAAATGAAACGCAGTTACTAAAAATATCATTCTACATATACTCAAAATCTTGAAAATAGATAGATATCTCTAAAAAAGTAAGAAAAATTTCATAGTACCCTAGCTTGTTGTTGAAACTTTATTCACCTTTTGCGGAATTTTTAGGGTAATTTTTTCACTTTTCCTTACGAGACAAGGGTTACACATGAATTCGTAGTGGTTTGTCACCTGCGTCACGGGCCCCTCCAGGGCCCGGGCCCCGGAACCAAGGACCCAGTATCCCCCCCCCCCTTTGTGGCGGGCCTGGATGTAGGGTAGAAATAGACTGGAAAGTGCCAACTAGACAGATTTAAGTTAGAGAGCTGTATCTACATTGGATGTTTTGAACAAAGACTTATTTAAATGGTATGTTCCTTTAAATAATATGTGTGATATTATATCACACACTGTATCGATATTGATATACTATTATAAATTATATAAGTTATAAGTTATTATATTTGTAAGTTACTATATGTACTATACACACTCCATACTATTCTGCCGTGATAAGGAAGAAAGCCGTAGAAACCTTGAGGGGTTGCCAAATTTCCTCAGGTAAATCACGAATTTTTGAGAAAATTTGTAAATATTTTTCTTCCTATTTTTCAGATAATTTTGCTCTCAATTTCACTTAAAGTTCTTGAAAATTTCTCGGAAAAATATTAATAACTTTCTTCAAAAATAAACACTTTTTTGATAGAGATTTGGCAACTCTCGAATGTTCATACGGTGTTTTTTCCTATAGCGCGGCAGAGCTACTTTGATATTATTGTACCGTAAAGTTGTGTATGTTGCTTACTTACGGATTGAAGGGGCACCTTTTATTGTTGACATCTATTCCAATTGAGCTGAGACTTAGATAATTTAGAATTTTCTTTTGAATTGCTGGTTGCGTACTTTTCTAAATTGAACTCATCTTACTGTTTCTTTAAAATTGACAATTACTGACCAAATTTTGTAAACATATTGCAATTATAGGCTAAAAAATTTCAGTCCCATTCCATTAAATAGCAATTTTATTTCAATATTTCCTACACCGTCCTACTTGTGTGATCAGTGCATCAACTAAAAGAAATCACCAGCCCTAATTTGAGTCTAGCACCGATAAATGTTGAGTTAAATATCAGCCAATTAACCGTTCTTGTGTGCTATCAATTTTCTTTGTTCGTGGGAATGATTTCGCAAATGAGAGAATGTTTTCAACATTTTCGGAATGCAATCAATGGATTTAAAACCACCTATAGGATCTATTGGTCGTCGCTGATGAAGCTTACTTGGCTTCCATCCCGGTAAAGTGATCTAAATGAACTACTAAAAATAGAAGGAATAATTCTCAGCGGCAATTTAAAATTAGGTAATGCACCCAGTCGGTTCGTCATCTATGTCTGTCTGCGCGAATAAATTGTTTTTGATTAGCCCGAGCCACACTCACGTTTAATTGAATTGTTTTCTACATTCATACGTGTATAAAAAGTATGATTTTAACTTCAGTGTCAACCGTTCTGTTGATCCTTGCATCTTCCATTGAGGCCTCGGTAAGTATAGATAGTATTACTCATGGCAAAGAATGAAATTCAAACTAAAATATAAGGGTAGAAGTATTAAACTAAGAGTCGAACCTAAATCTGCAGAGCTTAAAAAGTTTAAATTGATGACTGAAAATTAAAGATGAGGTTATATATAAATTGTTTACACTCTATCTTTTTTATTTTACGTTTTTTCTGGTAGAAAGGAATAAAAATGTGACATCACCACAATATTTTCAGGTTTAGGTGAACAAAATATTTCTATTATGAACAGTAAAAAAAAGGCTTTTTACTGGAACTTAAAAATTGTGCAAGTATATTTTAACTTCTTGCAGCCTTCTTCAATGCCGTCGAACAAAACCTTTAGCGAATTACTGGATTCTTTCATAGCTGTGGAAATGAACCGAACGAACGCCACAAAAACAGCAGAAGAGGTGGCTGCTAACCGGAAAAGCAAGGCGACGCTGAAATTCTTGAAAGACGTAGGATACGCGAATTATGTACTCGAAAATATACGACGCTATTTTGTCGCTGGTGAGATGTGGCTGGATTTTGTCGAAGGAGAATCACAACTTCCGAAAGAAACAGTACTTTTGGTAAGAAGGACCATTATATTTTTTGCGATTTTAGATGATATTTTTAGAATTTGCATGCAAAATTGAAACCCTTTTCTAAGGTCTTCATGGCTTAGTTTTGTCACGGCACCCTCAAATAAATGGACGAGTATTTATCAACCAACCAATCACTAAGAAAGAGATCTTCAAAATTTTCTGATAGAGAAGAGCACGGGGTTGTGGGATGATATGGACATTTCCAAATAATTGTGGTAGTATCTTCATAAATTAGGTTACTAACCCAAATGTTGCGGCACTACCACAATTATTTGGAAATGTCCATATCATCCAACTAATTTGAGTAGTACCACAATTTTAGTGATTAACACTTAACGCTTTTTTTTTCAGTGAAGGATATATTAATTCGTATTTTCCGAGCAATACGTTGCATGCAAAATACTTTTCTCACGTCAGCATTAACGGCACGTCTATAATGAGCAGGTAAAAAATTATGGAAGAGGATAGGACTCAGACGGTTATGAAATTTCAAGACTGGAATTTTAAAACTTAGACCACAGGCCTCTGATCTTTACATATTTACTAGAGTAACTAAAAAGCTTAACTATGATTTTTATTTTTATTTTTTGAGTTTTAACTTTTAATATACTTCCGAACCTCCATCGAACTGCACTTCAATCGAGATTGACGCAATGCAGAGGAAGTAAAAAATCCAAGGAATATTTCATTTTGACGGGAACGTGTTCTCTCATACCCCACTATTCAATGACTTTCAGACTTCATGAAATACATATTTGTTTTAGAAAACTTATCTCCTGAGAACGGAAAATTATTTGAATAAACAAATGTTTCTGCTTGCTGATATCTGCAAAAAAATAGAGGGTGAAGAGAAAAATGTGCCAGAGGACATGTTGAAGATGCTGCGACCAGTGATGGACTCCATCAAACAAAGTGAACAGGCGGTGACTCCTCTTGAGGAACAATTACAAAATGATTTGGGAAAGGCCAAAAAAAAGGAGAACACGATTGATGAGGGTATGTAATTTAAAGTTAAATTCACGGCTTAGACCTACAGTGTAGCATCTCGCTGAGAATCGTTTATGCATGATTATTATTTTCAACCGAGAAAAGTGCTCCTCTCTTCCATACCATAAAATTCACCCACATGGTTGAAAAACGATGTTCCAGAAGATCCAAAGAAGAAAAAGGGATGAAAGAACATTTGAGGGGCTTGGAGGACAAGACTCACGAGTGCATTTTTTGCTATTTTGAAAAATACGTATTGGAAGTTTCGAAATTACTTGGATACCTTTGGCGGAAAGAAAATTCAAACCGATTTTTTGATGCTTAAAAACTGGAATTTTGGAGCGAATTTTTCATAGAGAATGCATCAAGATTAGTTTTATTTGAAATCCTTGATAAATCAATTTCTTTAAAATCGGTGCTTATGCGCCTTGTCCTCCAAGCCCTTCATTTGTTTTTGATAAAAACACGGTAAATGTTGAAATAACAGTGTCGAACCTGTGACTGCTCAGCTTGTCGTCCGAGACTTTTTAAGCGTATCAGATCGTATTTGATAAGCTCAAATAAAGCGCAAGTTTCATTTTCACTGTTCTTCATATTTATAAGTGCGTTTAAAGTATGATTTTAACTTTATTATGCTCTAAGGCGTTGATCTTTGCATCTATTGAGGCCTCGGTAAGTGAAAAAGCTCGCCATAGATAGAATATAAAATTAAGGTACAAAAATCACTAAAATTTTCTTAGTCATTGGTAAACATCTCAGCAGCAACAATTACATGAGTTAAAAGTTGGCACCTGAGTACCAAGTATTAGGTTATGTTCAGTGCTCTTTTTTCATTTTTTTGAATTGTATGGCTCGAACTGTGGTCAAGCACATTTAGCCTACAAAATAGTTTAAAATTGTGTGATAAAAACAATACTTTCATTTTTGCGGT